CCGCACTGAGCCTCAGGGAGACTCAGTAGGTTTTAGTATCGTATTTTGATGTGTTTACTACACCTGACGGAATTGAGAGATCGAACGTGTAAAGGAGTATATACGCATTTAAATGGTATCCAGGTGCATTGAACAAAGAGGTTAGCAGTAGAATCGTGGAAAGTTACGGTCTAACAGCACAGTTAGAGAATTACTGTAAATAAAAGAACCACCTTAGAAGTTACAGTACAAAGACAGGAATGATATTCTTTAGAATAAGGGAGATCTAGGTAGAAATTGCGCAATGTGTAGTCAGAAGCAACAGAGGTACTAGGATCTACTTGTCTAAGCAGGACTTCATGTTTGAGCTGCTCGAAGGAAAGAACCAAACAGGACTTAAAGGTATATAGAGGGGGTCGTAGAGCACGAGAGGCCTACATTAGGCAGATACATACCGATAACCGCAACTGCACATGCAGATGCACGGGAGAGTAAGGTTAGCGAAGAAAGGGGAGTAAGACAAGAGCTTAAGAGCTCTCTAATGCGGTTGGAGTAGCACACGAGGAGTGTAGGGTGCACCGTGATGAGTGGCTCATCGTAGAATACACGACACCATAGTCTGCTGAAGGAAGGAGCAAGACTCACGAACCAACTACTACTCGGAAAGGGAACGCAGTGTAGGGCACGGAATAAACCTTTCCGGGCAAACAGTGTCGAGACTTGTTGAGATGAGAGACGATCTCTAGGGCGGAGAAGTATTTATACCATACCTATTTCGAGGACGTCTACACACATTTCCAAACCTCCACTGATTTACACAACGTACTAGTATGTCCAACCTACGTCAAAGCTGTCGGCAGTAACATCTTACCCCTGAACGTCGGGAGGAAGACGACATAGACCGTCGAGGAACTAAGCGCCGCCAGTCTGTCACGGACCATACCGACCAACGAGCTGAGAAAGGGCGGATGGAGCCACAGGATGCACCAGGAAAGGTTCATTACCAAGCAGTAGCTACCGGTAGACAGGCATCCAAGACACCCAAGGGCGATATCAGCCTATCGCAGGAAGACGTTGTAATTAACGGCGAGGCCAAGGGAGATACCGACCTACGTGCGGACAGGGAGCAGTACATTACTGGTGAACATGTAGCTAGTGATGGGCTCCCTTCCCGTTCGTCTTCGGGTATCTCTGAAGCCTTATCTTCCGGTAAAGGGCAACCACGCCTTCCACCTAATAAGCGCAGGCGTCACCGCCGTCGTTCCTACACCAAGGGCACGGTGCGGGGCCAGTCTTCGACACAGAAACTAACCGAGCTTATGGCACAACAACAGTCGCTCTTAGAGAAGTACGAACAAAGGTTGCAGCGTACATCTTCAGAACAACCCGCGACATTATTGTCCGCGAACGAAGCGTCGACTAGCCCACACAAACGAGGGCATATGGCACAAGGTACGAAGGACAATCCTACGTTTCGTATCCAAGGACGTTCAAAACAGCACCATGGACTCGGATATGAATCACCTGGGTCGGAAGGTCAACTCTCTAAGGAGGAAGATACCTTGTCGTCTCTGGAAGAGGCTCCGTCATTCCAAGAATTCGCACGTGAGCAAGTGTTGGCCAAGTAAAACCCACATGGGAAGGAAGCGCTTAAGAATAGGCAGGACCAGTTGAGTACGACCTATCGCCGACAACAACAACGACAGTCGTTCGAGAGGGAAGCAGCCAGTGATCATGTACACACTCCCAAACCGGCAACGGCAAGTATTGAGAAAAGTCGACAGGTGCTACATGCCCGTACACTACACCTGAGCAACGAGTTATGCCAAGCAATAGAGAATAATAATACGGCTCGAGCTGAAGCTCTTTGGGGAGCAATCAAAACGCTTCGAGCCACGTTAGAGTCCCGTCCAGTGGAAAAGCGTCCGGTACCATCACCGCGTACATGGTCCGACTGGCCCTCGAATACATGACATCATGGAACGGGATACGAGAGGGGCTCTACTGGAGGCTTGTAAGAACGTGCAAATCGCCGGGTTAGATGAGAGTTGGAGCCTTACATGGTTTCACAAGGTATTATCTTACTTTAAGGCTGAGAAGTCAACATTGGATTACATACGCGACAACTCTGAACGATTGAAGATGTGGACACCAGAACTACAAATCGAACAGATCTGCTCGCATGAGACGCAAGCCACTGTTGATCCCGCGTTTCGTAAGCTTGCCAAGGGCCACAGTCGAAACATGTACACCCCTATCATGGAACAAATGACACAGCTCATGGAGAACCACAGGAGGGCACGTGAACGGTGCCAGACGGATGCAGATTTCCGATAGAATTTATTAAACCACTGCATTGTTCAGCTGTTAGAGGAAACTCTCAACGGCCGTACGTATGAACGTACTCTACAATTGCATCCCAATTTTTTTACTACAGCTGTTGAGTCCCGACATCCAGGACTCACAGCAGCGCACCACGGCGTGACTCCAGAACCGTATTAATCGCGAAGGTCTCCCGAGTAACAGGGCTCGTGACTATACCAATAGCCGCTCTAACCCGCAGACGGTTCGACGACAGTCACAGAACTGGGCACAGCGTCCCCAGCCGACATTACCTACAACGTGTGCTGGATGTCAGGCACATGCACCGCCAGGTTCAAGTCATATTTCGCGATGTCATCATTTCCGTGCGTCGTCAACAGCGGGTTCGGACAGTAGGGCGCGACCGTATGATATCAACCGCACATCACGAGACGCACAACCGGCACACAGACCGTCCGCAGCTCCAACCTCAGGACAGGGGCAGCACAACAATCCGAGCAGAGACTTGGTCACTACGCGCCCAACTTCTCAAGTACAAGTGAATGCGATTACACACGACGACGGTTTTGTACCACTATCAGCAGCTACAGAGGTACACATCAACATGATACTCACGGAAGACCTCGGGCACACGACACCGGAACCAGACCAGGACCACGGTGTATGGGAGTCCGTAACCGATCGAGCATGAGATGTGAGGGTGTCTGAGTCGGATATGATCTTCACATTTGTTAATACTATTAGGGCAGTGATGGCGATACAGGACCCATTGCTGTCTTTGATAACCGAGTTTATATTCAAGTGCAGGTCAACGGACGTACGTTCAAAGCATCGATAGACACGAGAGCAAACAGAAGTTGTATCTCACAGACGAGACCTCCTCGGCCGCCCAATAACTCCAGCACCACCTGGGTCATTCATCTCTTTAGCTGACAAGGCGGTTCGAACTCCTCGACTGGGGACGACGGCAGTGGTACCAATTGTGAGACACTACATTAGAAGACGTATTTCTATATACGTTAATAACGTTTTACGTCGTCAGCCCGAGAGTAATTTGGGACTTGTTCTCAAATTAATATAAGTATAGGTGGGTCAGCCCGAGAGAACGTAAGAGTAATTTGAGACTTCTTCTCAGATTATTCTATTTATATGATACGGGCCACCGGCTAGCCGAGAGCCGAGGTCTGAGACTGAGTGTCGTAACAGAGAATAAGATATATTTATTTCTAGAAAATATATCCGAGTGCTAAAGTGCTCTGCATAAGGTTTCTCATACTGATCATATGAGTTTTTACCCTGGCCAACCCAAGTGATTGAACACTAGTACAAACACCATCAGTATATAACTGAGGGTGAGATCATAAATAAATTCATTCGAATGCACCATACTTTAAATACACTATCACTTTACTATTAGTCTCCCACATCCCACGCTAACACATTCGGTATGGGGCCAAGATCATCGACGGGTCACTAGAATTGATGAATTTAACGGCAGGTATAGACATCATAGTGGGACAAGATATGTTGAAAGGCTTGGGTCTATACATAGGCGGTATCCAATCACCACTCGCACCAATAGACCCCACAGAACTCGATGAGCTCCTCGAACCTATCCCACGCCGACAGGCACCGAACACGACGAAACGGATTTAGAGGCGAACGCGAAGATTGCTGACAACGCGCGATGTCGGTTGGAAGGGAGTGAAGTTACCATTCCGGTAACCTGTGAACAGGCGATGCACATGCGCAGATCAACACGTAACTTCGTATCCGACCGATGGCTACCCTACGTGGACGAACAGGTGAAGAAGTGGTTGGCGGACTTGGTGATCACGAAACGGACGACACCGACAACTGTTGACCTCTCTCTCCTTGCGGTTCCGACGTTCGATGCGGAAGGGAGCGTGAAGAAGGTGTTTGGATATACGCGCCGTCAACGTGCTTATTCCTGGTGACCAGTTCTTGATTCCAAAGGTCAACGAACTTATCTCTCGCCTCAAGAGTAAGAAGTACTACACTACGCTAGATATATCGGCGGCATATCATAGGCTACCGATCCATCCATATTCACAATACTTGTTTAGCTTTACACACGAGCGTTATCAGTATTCGTTTACATCGGTGCCGTTTGGACTCCTTGTGCTCACGCAACAGTTCCAGCGAACCTTGAGCACGATACTGGACGGCTTGCCGGTCCACCACTATATGGACGATATAGTTATCGCCAACGATGACTATGACGACCACATTCAGACGGTGCAGAAGGTGATTCAACGCTTAACGTACCACAGTTTGAAGCTTAGCCCCATAAAGTGCCAATTTGCTATTCCCGAAGTGGTGATCCTCGGAAAGAAAGTGTCGGCACAAGGCATAGACATTGATTATGAGAAGCAGGCTAAGTTTATCGACTGGCCTACCCCACTACGGTACAAAGATATAGCCTCTGCCTTAGGCTTGGCGAATTACCTTCATGAGCATCTCTCCAACTTCGCGAACACGGTTGCACCTTTGCGCGAGTTTTGTAAACTCAAACCGAAGAAGTTGATCGGCGAGCGTTGGGAGTAGAGACATGCACAGGCGTGGCAGGCGATGAAGGATGCACTTGTCAATGCAGTGGCATTGCACTTTCCGGTCGACGGTATACCATTGAACTTGGAAACCGACGCTAGCGATTACGGGTTGGGGGGAGCGTTATTCCAATGGGTCGACGGGAAGAAACACTATTTAATGTTCTATAGCAAGACTCTGAACCATGCGCAACAGAACTACGCTACACCAATGAACGAGTTACTAGCTTTGGTGTATGGGCTTACACATTTTAGGGAGCATTTGGATGGGCAACGGTTTGCAGTCTTTACGGACCACAAAGCCCTGGTGTATATGAATACACAGCTCAAGCTTAATCCGATGCTCCAGAGATGACACCATATTATAGCACCGTTCAACTTTACCATATCGCATATACCAGGAGAGACCAACGTGCTTCCGGACATGCTAAGCAGAGTACACGAGGGAACAGCGGAACAGGACGAACCTGAAATACTGTACACAGATTGTTGGCAGTTATTCCCTAGTTACTTTGAACAAGCACAACAACACTTCGGTCCGAATAATATAGATGTATTTGTGGACCCAACTAACGCTCAGTTTCCTCGATTTTGGACTAAAGACGAGGGGGAAGGGGCGTTTGCCCACGACTGGTCGACAGTCGATGGATGGATGAACCCACCGTGGGATAAGATACACAGAATGTTACACAAGATAAGGCATCGAACCAACACCTTCTCACTTGGCGCTGTTAGCAGTCGACCAATTTAATTATGATGGGTCCTTTAAGAAGGTCGGAGTTTGTTTGGATATGAGTCCTATTAATAAGATCATACCAACACATAGCTTCCATCTACCTCGTATAAACGAGTTACTGAGATCACTTGGAGGGGCAACTATCGTTTCAAAGATAGACCTAACTCAAGGTTATCATCAGTTAAAGATCCTTAGGGAACACCGTAAGTACTTTTCATTTGCATGGAAAGGAAAGCAATATATGTTCAGAGGAGCACCATTTGGGCTCCATATGCTTCCTGCTTTCTTTCAACAGATCATGGAAGATCTGTTTGAGGATATACCTCAAGTAAAAGTTTACTTGTATGTTTTATCTTCACGGCAACTAAGGAAGGACATGAACATGTCGTAAGTCAAGTCCTCGCACGCTTGAACGAACATAATTTTAAAACTAATGAGAAGAAGTGTGAATGGGGAGTAAATAAGGTCCAATTGCTTGGATACCTTATTTCAGGTGAAGGTATAGAAATTGATCCCGGGAAAGTGGATCATCTTCTAGACCGGAGAACCCTTACAACTGGAAAGGATGTTAACAGCCTTTACGGGTTTATAAATTTCTTTACAGATGGGGTCATTCACCTGTCGGACTTATTAAAGCCCTTTAGTCATATACGTTTACATAAAGGTAAACTAGGAGACTTATGGACAGCAGAATGTGAGGAGACGTTACGAAAAGTGAAGACTGCCGTTCAAGCTGCTTCAGTAATGCGACGTCCTATAGACGGTATATCGATCAAAACAGCGACGAATGCATCGGATAATGCTGTAGGAGGAATACTATATCAGGTTGAGAACAAACCTAGATATGTACAGTACTTTAGCAAGAGCTTAAATGCTTCACAGCGAAATTATCCTACTGTAAAGCAGGAGTTGGTAGCAATTGTATCTGCTTTAGAGTTCTTTAAAGACTATCTTCATGGCACACACTGTAGTAAGTAGTCGAGGATAACCGTATCTCAAC